TGCTTCCAAACAGGATGGGGCGATAAATATATGTTATCCACATCATATAGTAGTGATGTGTTCGAAAATAAGTCTTTCTGCATACGTTGCGTACATTTTCGTACTTGCCCCCATTTACCCTTATTTTCCTCGACTTTTTTAAATGTGCACAATTTTGTTTCAAAACACGATGGGGCGATAAATTTATGTTATCCACATCAAATAATGGTACCGTGTTCAAAAAGAAGTCTTTCCGGAGCCATTGCGTACATTTTCGTACTTGCCCTTATTTACCCTTATTTTTCTCGACTTTTTTAAACGTGTACGATTTTGCTTCAAAACTCCATGGGGCGATAAATATATAGTATCCACATCAAATAATGGTGCCATTTTTGAAAACAAATCTTTCCGGAGACGTTGCGTACATTTTTGTACTTGCCCCTATTTACCCTAATTTTTCTCGACTTTTTTAAACGTGTACGATTTTGCTTCAAAACACGATAGGGCGATAAATATATGTTATCCACATCAAATAATGGTGTCGTGTTCGAAAACAACTCTTTCCGAAGACGTTGCGTACATTTTTGTACTTGCCCCTATTTAACCTTATTTTTCTCGACTTTTTTAAACGTGTACGATTTTGCTTCCAAACAGGATGGGGCGATAAATATATGTTATCCACATCAAATAGTAGTGACGTGTTCGAAAATAAGTCTTTCCGGATACGTTGCGTACATTTTCGTACTTGCCCCCATTTACCCTTATTTTCCTTGACTTTTTTAAATGTGTACAATTTTGTTTCAAAACACGATGGGGCGATAAATATATGTTATCCACATCAAATAATGGTACCGTGTTCGAAGACAAGTCTTTCCGGAGCCATTGCGTACATTTTCGTACTTGCCCTTATTTACGCTTATTTTCCTCGACTTTTTTGAACATGTACGATTTTGCTTCAAAACATGATGGGTCAATAAATATATGTTATCCACATCAAATAATGGTGCCGTGTTCGAAAACAAGTCTTTCCGAAGGCATTGCGTACATTTTCGTTCTTGCCCCTATTTACCCTTATTTTCTACGACTTTTTTAAACGTGTACAATTTTGCTTCAAAATACGATGGGGCGATAAATATATGTTATCCACATCAAATAATGGTGTCGGTTTCAAAAATAAGTCTTTCCGGAGATGTTGCTTACATTTTTTGTACTTGCCCCCATTTATGCTGATTTTTCTCGACTTTTTTAAACGTGTACGATTTTCCTTCAAAAACGATCGGGCGATAAATATATGTTATCCACATCAAATAATGGTGCCGTGTTCGAAAACAAGTATTTCTGGAGACGTTGCGTACATTTTCGTACTTGCCTCTATTTACCCTTATTTTCCTCGAGTTTCTTAAATGTGTACGATATTGCTTCAAAACACGATGGGGCGATAAATATATGTTATCCACATCAAATAATGGTGCCGTGTTCGAAAACAAGTCTTTCCGGAGACGTTTCGTACATTTTCGTACTTTCCCTTATTTACCATTATTTTTCTCGACTTTTTAAACGTGTACGATTTTTCTTCAAAACACGATGGGGGCATAAATATATGTTATCCACATCAAATAATGGTGTCGTGTTAAAAAACAAGTCTTTCCAGAGACGTTGCGTACATTTTTGTATTTTTCCCCTATTTACCCTTATTTTTCTCGACTTTTTTAAACATGTACAATTTTGCTTCCAAACAGGATATGGCGATAAATATATATGTTATCCACATCAAATAATAGTGACGTGTTTGAAAACCAGTCCTTCCGGATACGTTGCGTACATTTTCGTGCTTGCCCCTATGTACCCTTATTTTCCTCGACTTTTTAAACGTGTACGGATTTGCTTCAAAACACGATGGGGCGATAAATATATGTTATCCACATCAAATAATGGTTCCGTGTTCGAAAACAAGTCTTTCCGGAGACGTTGCGTGCATTTTTGTACTTGCCCCCATTTACCCTTATTTTTCTCGACTTTTTTAAACGTGTACAATTTTGTTTCGAAACTCCATCGGGCGATAAATATAATTATCCACATCAAATAATGGTGACGTGTTCGAAAACAATTCTTTCTGGAGACGTTGCGTACATTTTTAATGCTTGCCCTTATTTACCCTTATTTTCCTCGATTTTTTTAAACGTGTACGATTTTGATTCAAAACACGATAGGGCGAAAAATATATGTTATCCACATCAAATAATGGTGCCGTGTTCGAAAACAACTCGTTCCGGAGGCGTTCCTTACATTATTCGTACGTGCCCCCATTTACCCTTATGTTCCTCAACTTTTTTAAACGTGTACGATTTTGATTCTAAACACGATGGAGCGATAAATATATGTAATCCACATCAAATAATGGTGCCGTGTTCAAAAAAAAGTCTTTCCGGAGACGTTGCGCACATTTTCGTACTTGCCCCCATTTACCCTTATTTTCCTCAACTTTTTTAAACATGTACGATTTTAATTCGAAACACGATGGGGCGATAAATATATGTTATCCACATCAAATAATGGTGTCGTGTCGAAAACAAGCATTTCTAGAGATGTTGCGTACATTTTCGTACTTGCCCCTATTTACCCTGATTTTTCTCGACTTTTTTAAACGTGTACGATTTTGCCACAAAACACGATGGGGCGATAAATATATGTTATCCACATCAAATAATGGTGTCGTGTTTGAAAACAAGTCTTTCCAGAGACGTTGCATACATTTTCGTACTTGCCCCTATTTACCCATGTTTTCCTTGATTTTTTTAAACGTGTACGATTTTGCTCCAAAACACGATGGAGCGATAAATATATGTTCTCCACATCAAATAATGGTGTCGTGTTCGAAAACAAGTCTCTCCGGAGACTTTGTCCCTATTTACCCTTATTTTTCTCGACTTTTTTAAACGTGTACGATTTTGCTTCCAAACAGGATGGGGTGATAAATATATGTTATCCACATCAAATAGTAGAGACGTGTTCGAAAATAAGTCTTTTCGGATACGTTGCGAACATTTTCGTACTTGCCCCCATTTACCCTTATTTTTCTCGACTTTTTTAAACGTGTACAATTTTGTTATGAAACTCCATCGGTCGATAAATATAAATTATCCACATCAAATAATGGTGCCGTGTTCGAAAACAATTCTTTTTGGAGACGTTGCGTACATTTTTGTACTTGCCCCTATTTACCCTTATTTTCCTCGACTTTTTTAAACGTGTACGATTTTGATTCAAAAGACGATAGGGCGATAAATATATGTTATCCACATCAAATAATGGTGTCGTGTTCGAAAACAACTCTTTCCGGAGACGTTGCTTACATTTTTCGTACGTGCCCCCATTTACCCTTATTTTCCTCAACTTTTTTAAACGTGTACGATTTTGCTTCTAAACACGATGGGATGATAAATATATGTAATCCACATCAAATAATGGTGCCGTGTTAAAAAAAAAACGACTTTCCGGAGACGTTGCGCAAATTTTCGCACTTCCCCCATTTACCCTTATTTTCCTCAACTTTTTTAAACGTGTACGATTTTTCTTCAAAACACGATGGGGCGATAAATATATGTTATCCACATCAAATAATGGTGCCGTGTTCGAAAACAAGCCTTTCCGGAGACGTTGCGTACATTTTCATACTTGCCCCTATTTACCCTTATTTTCCTCGACTTTTTTGAACGTGTACGATTTTGCCACAAAACACGATGGGGCGATAAATATATGTTATCCACATCAAATAATGGTGTCGTTTTTGAAAACAAGTCTTTCCAGAGACGTTGCATACATTTTCGTACTTGCCCTATTTACCCATATTTTCCTCGATTTTTTTAAACGTGTACGATTTTGTTTCAAAACACGATGGGGCGATAAATATATGTTATCCACATCAAATAATGGTGTCGTGTTCGAAAACAAGTCTCTCCCGAGACGTTGCGTACACTTTTGTACTTGCCCCTATTTACCCTTATTTTTCTGGACTTTTTTAAACGTGTATGATTTTGCTTCCAAACAGGATGGGGCGATAAATATATGTTATCCACATCAAATAGTAGTGACGTGTTCTAAAATAAGTCTTTCCATATACGTTGCGTACATTTTCGTACTTGCCCCCATTTACCCTTATTTTCCTCGACTCTTTTAAATGTGTACAATTTTGTTTCGAAATACGATGGGGCGATAAATATATGTTATCCACACCAAGTAATGGTACCGTGTTCGAAAACAAGTCTTTCCGGAGCCATTGCGTACATTTTTGTACTTGCCCTTATTTACCCTTATTTTCCTCGACTTTTTTAAACGTGTACGATTTTGCTTCAAACATAATGGGTCAATAAATATATGTTATCCACATCAAATAGTGGTGCCGTGTTCGAAAACAAGTCTTTCCGGAGACATTGCGTACATTTTCGTACTTGCCCCTATTTACCCTTATTTTCTACGACTTTTTTAAACGTGTACAATTTTGCTTCAAAATACGATGGGACGATAAATATATGTTATCCACATCAAATAATGGTGCCGTGTTCGAAAACAAGTCTTTCTGGAGACCTTGCGTACATTTTCGTACTTACCCCCATTTACCCTTATTTTCCTCGACTTTTTAATTTATCCTTATTTTCCTCGACTTTTTTAAACGTGTACAATTTTGCTTCAAAATACGATGGGGCGATAAATATATGTTATCCACATCAAATAATGGTGCCGTGGTCGAAAACAAGTCTTTCCGGAGACGTTGCACACATTTTCGTACTTGCCCCCATTTACCCTTATTTTTCTCGACTTTTTTAAACGTGTACGATTTTTCTTCAAAACACGATCGGGCGATAAATATATGTTATCCTGTAATATCCCGATATTTTATCGGTATAAATTACGTTTTAGTTCCGATATAATAATGTTAACGTTTATTATTTTCGGAATTAATTAAGTTCAGTTGAGAATACCGAAATTTAGTTTCGGCGTATCGATTACGTTCGGAATAATTTTGGTAATTAAGCATTATTTTTAATTGAATAATTAAACATAAATTAAGTGATTAATGTTAATTAATCACAATTCATGTCTTAAGCCGTGACCTAAATGTCCAAATGCCATGACTTAGGAAATTTCCCAAATATCTTTAATAAGGCCGTGCGTATAGATGTAATTAAGTTCATAAGGTATTCATCACTTTCCTAAGTCTTAAGAAGACTTCTCCCCTCCACACACTAACCATCCATGTGTATTAAGGAGAAGTGAAGAAGGAGGCTTAGTCATTCCAACTCTTGTTATTAAGCTAGCAAGTGGCAATAGCCTAAGAAGGCCACGCCATCACACCATCATCCCCCTCCCTAATCGGCCATCTATAAATTAAGGTAAGTTTGAGAAATTTTGCCCCAATTTTCCTACAACAAACTTTCAGCATATTCAAGCCTTAAGTTCAGTAATCAAGTTCCCTAAATTAATCCTTCAATCCCTATAAAATCGCACGGCAAACCGAAGTATACGCACGGCGCACGCGCAAAGGCAAGGAAGCACATCCGATTTTCCCAATTCAGTTGAGCGATTCAAGAGGTAACGTCCTTCCCCTCTTGTAATCATATTAATAAGGACATAACAAGGTTTAGTGTTCGATCGATTTTCGGGAATTTCAAGTAAAGTCATGCTTAAGGCCGAACATGTTTAAGTAAGATCATCACCGAACAAGTTTCGATTTTTCCTGGCAAATCTCGAACTGTTGATGTTTATATGTTCAGTTAGTCTATTTCATGTTCATTATGATCAGATTTGTCGAGGCAAAATGAAGTTTTGTTGAGAAAATGGCCCGAGCCGTCGCCAGCGCCTATCGCGCGCGGCCTCGGGTGGCCTCGGGCCGTGTCTTGTTGTTTTCAGTAATATTCATGTTCAGCCGTGTGTTTGTATCCTAAATTGCTTCATAATAATGATCATGTTGAGTTGTTCTGAAGTTGCCGGATAATAAGGTGTTGTGGCCGAGAGACGGCGTATAGCCGTCGGCGGCGCACGGCGCGCCCGCCGCGGCCCCTTCGTGTTTATCATGCCATGGTTTCATTTTCAGGTCATAATATTCATATTAAGTCATGATAAGTTCAGAAGTTGACATATTTGTTCAGTTTGGTCGGGGACTTGGCCGAAGGCCGTAGGCCTCGCACGTAGCGAGCCTACCACGACCGTGAGTTAAGTCTAGCAAGCGAATTCAGCAATTTCGTTATAAATTCAGTTTATTGTTCATGATAGGTCATAACATGTCAAATGAAGTCATTTCGGTCGGTAAAGGTTGCCGAACGGCCGGCCCTGCCGCACACAGCGGCAGCAGCGCATCGGCCAGCGTTCAGCGCGACAGGCAGCGCACGCAGACG